CACACAGCATGGACAAAAATGATTTTACAATTAATACATACGATTGTCATTATGGCAACGGTAACGATCATACAGATCAGAAACTGATGCGGGATACGCTAGAAAGCATCGAACAATTGCACTCTTTACTAGAATCCTGTTAATTGTATACGCCATTCTGATTTACAAGATTTTGCCGCCTGATCTCATCAGAAGCGTTAACTGTGAGCAGCGACTGGCATAAACGTTTACTCTTTGCATCATATTTGTTCTTCTTTGTGTAACTATAATCAAAAGGCTATAAGATATGGTTAGGCTATTAACGCTAAGGACAGACATAGGGTATAACTTTAGCACAAATCATCTGTTCCTGGGTCCATTTATTTAAAACTAGTCAAGGCAGTGCCTTTCATCAGTAGTCTTTTCATCACAAAGACAGAATTGGCAAGGAATATAACGGCTAATATTAACTGTACGCGCACAGATGCGGTTAGCTGCAGGAACCTGAAATCTAACTTCAGATATTTAATGTCCTCCACTTCACCTTCTTTAAATGGTCCATCCAAAATTGATTTTAAAATGACCGCTTACACTCTTACTAATCGTAGAAAAAAAAAAAGTATGTAATAAACGTACAAGACAATATCAATTATATATATGAAGTTCTGATGCGAGGTTAACGTACTTCAATTGTGAAGTCGACCCTCAACACGGAAAGCCAGGACTAATGACCCCTCTAAGCAAAGCTCAGGGAGCATAATATCTGTTATTTGTATTTACGCCATCACAGAAGGCGGATGATCCCTGAAAATCATCCTTAATAATGGGCCATGAAAGTGAGCCCTATGGTATTTCCACATATATATATATATATATATATATATATATATATATATATATATATATATATATATGTTATCATTATTATTCATCGTCTTCGTCATTAACCCCGTACAGTGGATATCTTAAATAGGAAATTAAGTACTAAAATTGCAACAGCCATTATTTACTGCTTATTATCCTCCGCTAGGAAAAAGAAAATCCAATACCATAATAGATCAATGGCAGAGTGCATTACCGAGTTGGTTGTTCTGCCTCGTCTACTCTACAGGCCGACCAACTGTGTGTACCGCCTAATCACAAACAATATCCACACACAGGCCGCAAGTCCGATGGAAGCGACACCTGAATGCGTCATTTCTCCTACTCGATTTGTCCTTGCTCGCGCACTGGTACACTGGCTCTTTCGAACCACTTCTCGTTCTGACCCCTTCGAAATATCCGCAATCTCCTATTACGTTTATTTCCACACTCATTCTTGGCTGAAGCTATTTCCGGAGCTTTTCCTTCCCTGCACCTACCAACCTCGATCCTGATATCGGCTATACTGCGTCTTTGGTGGGCGCTATCGACGACCATGTTGATGAAATTCATCCAATCAATCAACCGGTTCTTTACCCATGGTAAATTAATTAAGCACGCAATCTATCAATCAATAAGTCACCTATGATTATTGCATCATTGTCCGTAAGAGGAGGCATCTTGTCAGTTCATTTATATATATATATATATATTTCATCGTTATCCTGATTATAATCACCTTATTATTTTTAGCAACTATCCGTGTGTGTATCCGGCATGCGTACGATGAGTTCACTACGAGTGAGTGGGTGACCCCCATCTGTTTGTTAGCGACATTCGTTTCACATCCATCTCACTTTCTATTGTCCCTTAAAGATTAACCGCGCTTCTGGCATAAATCACAATCATCATCTGATTTGTTAAGTGCGATCTGAATGTTTTGCCTAATCGTTTCATGCGCGGATCCCGATCTTCAGAGCTGATAATTTTATTATTCCATATTATCGCATAATATTGTACCGGTATCTATTTACTTATCATGTATTCTTTGCACGTACTCGGCAAGGGTTTGATTGTAAAACAGACGCTGAACAACCATTGTACACGCTGTTTCTCTAGCTGTTTTATATCTGTATGATCGATGTTTTATTATGATTGCCTGTGTGTATAATGGTATACTTTTAACGTTTTTTTCCGTATGCCTGTTCCGATGAAGTGGTGTGATTGTGTACCTCCGTGGCTTCGGCAAGCTCGTTATAATTATATAGCCATTGTCAGTACGATACTTGTTATCGCTATGAATCTTATTATTACTAGCATTATTATCCTCACAGTCATCATTATCAACATTTACTTATTCTCCTTAGCATCATCATCATCATCATAGTCGTCGATGCTATATTCTTACAATCAGTATCAATGTGTTTTTTTTTTGGGTTTGTGCGCGCCGTCGCTTTCATGTGCGGCCATACGGCATCATCACATGACCAGCGAGGGACGGGCAATCCGGCACGCAAAGCTCGACCGATTGACCAACCCGTCGTGGCCCGGAACAATGACGAGCCGCGGCGGTCGTCAGCGTAACCACGCCCAGAGATAACATGGGTCGAAAGAACTACCTATCGTTATCCTCGTCATTACCACCATCGTCATCATATTCGGTTACTCTTATTGGTTGCTCTTGTCGTATCTACAGCAAACAACAGGGTAGTATAATTATTACGGCATCGATAGCAATATTGTAATCATACAATTTTTTGTGTTCTATCGTACCCGGTCCTCTTCTATTGTATCTAGTTTTTGTGTGTCTGCATCTATTTGTTTGTTTTCTTCTAATTTTCTTTTAGGTGTCTGTCTGTGTGCACGTATGTATGTATGTATGTATGTAGCCGTCTGTACGTACGAAATGTCCATCTCTCGAATTATACAATAGTTATATAATATTAATCAGCATTGTTGTTGCAATGATTGATCATTATTGAAATCATTAAGAATTACTGATCTGATACTTAGATATAATAGTAGTAGTAATATATTTATTATTACGAGAGCGTTGTCGTCGTACGTTTCTTTTCGTCAATCATAGATCGTATATAATCCTCTATCGTTAATTGTGCCGATAGTACGCTTATTAGTCATCACCATTATGATCTCGAATGCCATTGTATATTTGACGCAAAAAAAGGTCACTCGTCGTCAACTGTTCATGATCGTGTTCGCTATATGTCCTATATAATATCAATATAGTTTTATTAATTTGCCCGCACCTCATAGTTTCGGCTAGCTGAAAATACGAAACAAACTCTAGTAGGTAGAGTAGATTAAGGGACCTGGACCAGTAAATGTCCCGTTGAAACAGCAAAAAAGGCGAATCTATGGTAGTGCAGACAGGCAGGCAGGCAGGCAGGTAGGTAGGCAGACAGGCAGGCAGGCAGGCAGGCAGGTCGGTCGGTCTCTGATGAGAACCGGCGAAGCCTGATAGTGCGTAGATTGTTCGCGGTGTATCGAGGAATTAAGAACAGATGGGGCATGTCAATAGTCGTAATATCGTTAGATGTGGACAACAGCAAATACAGGAAGTAATTCAGAGTATCCCATAATATTGCGCTGTGTAAAATTTGTCTATTTAAAGGTTTCTAGCAGGGCTCAGTGGTAGCAAAGTAATAAAGTCGAATCAACAAAAACATGACCACCCCACGGGGGCGTTAAGATGCTGGTTAAAATTCGTAAAAACAATTCATCGAGCATGATTAACGGCAGAAACAATACACGCCCTCTATTCGTTTTATTGCGTTGTGGATCAAAAGCTTGCGCAACAGCTTGTAACTAACGTATACCTCAAAGGGCATATACATGCATGAAACAAAAAATAGTACAGGTACTCAGCCCATATCCTCTAGCCCCTCGACAAAACACAGTTAAAAAAATATGGAGCACGCAAAACGGAAGATGTCGTTGAGAACTCCACATGACATTATCTGGGGTAGCTTGGCGAAATTGACGAACCAAGTGTTCCTGGCCCAAACCGAAGGAAAAGAAGCTTGCGCAAGACCCAATCCAGGCATTCCCATGATAGTGATGTGGTTTAAAAAATACACCCCACAGAATTAAGCAAAGGCACCGCGACGCTTTTCTTTAGATAGGTACAATTATCAGTTGATTATTATTACCTCGTTAATGCTTCATAGCGTCCATTTGTATATGTACGTATGCCCATCTCAAGTGTTCAACAAGTGTAGATTTTGGCCATTGTATTGATTCTCGCTCGACCGCTGTATTCCTTATGATTTGTTCTATTTTTCATCTTTCACTCGGTCTCTCCGACTTTGCCTTTTACTAGATAGCAACGCTTGGCTTACGCATATACAGACAAACATTGTTTCTTGCAATTCGGAGTCAGTAGTCAATTTTCCGAGAACCATTAACAAAAGCAACAATACCACACAACAAGGGCTTTTAGCTCATCGAACAACAGCTGGTATACATCAAAAATCATTGTTGCACTCCAATGAAAAAGGAATAAGCTTATCTCTCTCTATGTGGTACGTAATCGAATATATTAGAAGGTCGACATTATTAAGGACAAGGGGGGGCCGAATTTTGGAAAATAGAACTTATCTTTAATCGAATTACCTCCAGTCGGAGTTTCGGTTCTATCCAGGCCGCGCGGTGTCGATGGCGTACTGCCACGAGAGGATCATCGTTTCGATTGGTTATTTTTTCTCTCGTACAAATAACTATAATAAGAATGATGTCTAATATTCTCAAGAGCCACAAGGAAATGATAGTATCCATACACTTATGTCATGGTTGCCATTATTACTGTTAGATATTAATGGTATAGAGTAACTAAGAGTTAAAGCAATAATAATATAATATATAACGTCAATAAATACATAATCATCTGCTATTATCGTCATGAATACATAGTTAATTAATGATCATAATGGCTGATCACTAATTATATAATTATTGTGTACTTAAGACCTCGACCATGATTCGTGTCATCTTCACATTATACTAATAATCATTATCATGTTATTATTAATCATCGTCATCATCGTCATCATCATCATCATCATCATCATCATCATCATCGTCACATCGGTCATCCACAATCAAGCACTCAGTCAATCAATCAATCAATCAATCAACAATATTTCTATTATCGTCATATAGTATTGTATCTCCAGTGTGTCATCCGCATCAATATATGTGTGTACTTCATTATCCATATCTCATCATCGGCAGAATTTCCATTATAATTATTATTATTATGTAAGAACTGTTATATGCAGCATGTATGTCACGAGCTCATCGAGCTCCGTCCAGTTCGGACTGCAATCACTGCGGTTGCCGCATTGCCTATCGTGCACCGGTCCGTATGAGACCAAGCGATGCGGAGACCTTCCCTTTTGGCTTCGATAGCCATTGCTTTGGAGAACTGTTAGGTGACGGCTATTTGTCGCCCGTAACAATAGATGGTATTGAATTTGAGACGGGAAATGGGTAGGATGCTGAAAACGCTTTGATCCTCGAACAGAAGATAGACTTTCTACGATTCTTATTACTGTCGAATTTCCTGGACGTGTGCCTCGGGGGTGTGCGCAGCTAAGCTCCGACGTTTAGCAACGATTCGAACACGCAGCACGTGTCAACAAGACTAAAAACATCTCGGACACGCCCTAGACGTCCTTTGCGATTTCGAGTCGCTTTCTTATACTTTTCTCTTTTTTAACACACCACCCTTTAAATACTGAATGCACCGAGATGAACCTGCTAGACAAACCGGATTCGCTTATGATGCCAAGTGACCTCGCTCGAGAAGTTCAGTAACTTATGCAACTTCCAGAGCCGCGACAGGCAAGGGTGTATATTGATAGATATGTTATCTGCTTAAAGGGGAAATTCAAGTTCAGCCGATATATAGCGGCCCATAAAAACTATGTACGCGTTACGATCACCATCATTATTGTTCATTTTTGCATCTGCACGAACATTTGTACCAATGGGAGCATATACGATTTTTAGCGAACGTAGTTGAGGATGTAGCAGAAATTTGTAGATGTACTCCTGCTTGTCGATGACCGTAACGACCGAACTATTTTTTATTTCTAAATAGCCTCCCTGTATCTTACCGTCTCGCTTGCTGTTCCTGACTTTGTTTTCTTAGTTTACTGAGGGGAGGAATTGCCTGTTCGTATTAAGGTAGAGGAATATTGAAGGAGTGCGAAAAAGTCCATAATTTTGTCCCGATAACTTACCTACGAGCTTCGTTAATTGTTTCGTGTTGCCCCGTTGCCTTCTTATGATATGTGCTGAGGCGCACTGGTACTACTATTACCCCAATGATTCGACTTTTAGTTTTTTCCTCCATAAATTATCGCTTTCTATTTTTCGGATACCGTCATCTACCTCGTCAGCGTCGCTCACGCTACGCTTTATAGTTGCTCATGATTTCTTATTGTTGATAGACACTCAGGTGTGGTCTGTTTAATCGCTTAATGATCTAATTGAATGCGTCCGTTCATTTCGCAAGGAAATGTCCAAAGGAAGATCTTCTTTGCGTAGCGAGAAATTATCTAATATTGTCATAGGGATACTATAGTATGAGTAATAGAAGTATTAGTTAAGTAACTCATTTATCATCCTAGATTCTATCATCAGCGTTATTATTATTATTGGCGTACATTTTGTTGGGGAGGGAGACCCGAGCCCTGCGGGACTTGAATGTTCGGTTTGTGTTTAAATATGTCCTGTAGTTTCGTCAACGTAATTCAGCGATCTCAGTACGGATATATCGGTGTAGCCGTTCGCTTGGACTATTTCGTCTGCAATTTTCGTCAATGATTCTTTCACCACCTTTTGTTGTTGCTGCTGCGGCATACAGTGGGGCCCGGGTATCCTGAGCGGTTGACTCAGTGGCAGTTTATCGCTGACGTCTAATTCTGACTTAACTTTCCTTCTGTTCCATACCCGCCAACCTCCAATTTCGTCCTCACGGCGCTCTTCAGCGTCCCTCAGCAATCCCTCCTTTACTTCTCTACCATCATCATCATCATCATTGTTCACCTGTTTCGTCACCGCAAAATAATCATTCCTCCTTCCCGCGCGCCTCACTAGAAGCACATATGATCCGGTATTTTTCAGCTTCTGGTCAGTTTCAGGCCAAGTGCATGGCCGTACCGGAGCGTCTATCGTTCAGAAGTGACGGACCCTTCGTTTTCAGGGTTCGAGCGGACGACGACTTGCTAGCGTGGCATGGAGAACCTAGTCAGCGAATCTGGTACAAGCCTTCTTCCATTTGCATTGCGTGCACCACTGGTCACGGTTCTCCATGCCGTACACCTAAAGGTAGAAATTGTTCAACACGGAGTTGGGCAACGAAGCAAATAGGTATTAGTTGGCTGACTGTCGTTGTTATATGGATTGAGGGTCGGATTTGAGAACTGATATAATCAATATTTTATTTTGACAAATTTACACAACTAATAAGATGATTGCTCGATCTCTGCATATTGTCACAGTCCTTGCGCCACATTATGTCATTGGAAAGTAAAATCTATAAGATTATACGTGGTATTAGCAGAAAAGCTATTTTGTTAAACACAATGGATGTCTGAACAGAAATTCGTCCAAGTAGAAAGATATAATCATGACTTTTATTGGAATCCGTTGATCGAACTTAATTAACGGATTAACTACCTTTCGGCATTTCCTACTCTCCGAACGTCCCCGAGAGCGATGTTTCGGACTCAGGTGGATCTTCGTCTGGAGTTTCTTCTGCTGCGTGTGCCTGAACGGTGGGATATTGATCGGCGAAGAGGAAAACTCCTTGCGTTGAAGTTCAGGGTCCTCGTGTGGCGGCCGAGCCATATCTAGGTGTGACAGGGTGGGCGCCGAACTCATGAAGATCGAATTATGAGGGGGCTGAGAAGGCTGCTGGGAGGCGACGGGCGACGGAGGCGATGACGGTCGAGAGGACGCGTCATCCGTCGACTCGCCGCTGAGCGACATATCGTCTTCAAATGAGGTCGCGAGCTCCTCGGGTTCGCCTGCTTCGCCCCCCTCTGGTCCATCGAAGCCGCCAGGATCGCTGCCTTCAACCTCAACCTCGACTTTGATGTAGTACTGCTCCTCATTATCGTTACTCATGGCTTCATTTTGGTCGAGATGGGCAAATCTGATAACAACCCAACGTAGCGGAGACAAATTGAATGTGCAGAAAGTTAAAATTGACACCCGGTAGCCTTTTGCAAAGAAGTCAGAGATGGCGACCAGGAGGTAGCAGGTGGGTAATCAGCTTGCATTTACTAATTTAACGATGTAAGATAAATATAATAGGCTTATCTACTGAGCTGTCTATTAAACTTATTGGCTTATTCATTGGGCGTACGCTAAAAAAAGACACCTAAGGATACGAAAGGGCATAAATATAAATATAAATTATACATGTACTGCATACCTAATAGTCATTAACGGATCCCACCACAGTATATCAGGGAACGATCCAGTCTATTTTACATTAATATAATCATATGTTAATCATTTAACCCTTTTGTTCAAGTTAGGTGACACCGAGTTCTGTTTTGCCTTCAACGGAGGTAGTTCGAGTAAGCTATGAATATTAGATTAGACATTAACATTGCCCTTATCTCTGTCTCTGTACCTATAATATCTTTTTTCCCTTATAATATATAGCAGAAGTGGGCAACTTCCATCAACTAGTGACTTACCTAATGTGTCTAAGAACGGTGTCACAAGCAACAAACTGGACTCCGCACAGGGTGCATCGATACTCGGTTTTTCGAGATTCGCTCATGCGGACCAGACCTAGATCGAAAAAGCCCCCTGTGGCGGACGACAACGATGACGCTGCCGACGGTGCTGCCAGCAGTAGCGAATGCGGATCGAACGATGAGCATCCTGATGACGAGGCTGATGATGCAGAGGACGCAGCCGATGATGGGACATGGCTAGACAGTGATGAGGCGACTGTAGAGATAAGCGAATATATATGTCAAGAAAGTTAAACTTAATTCAGTAACATTTTATGGGTTCTTTACTACGCGTATTTGCGCATCAGTTATAGTATATCGGTTGTTGGCCACGCGCATGGTTTGCCGCAATTAGCAAAACTCTAGATTTACCAAAAGCAAGAGATAGAATGATAACGTTGCGTATGAAATAACGGATACAAGTATATTGGTGGCTAAAGGAAGCTAGTTGATATTCTATTCTCTCAAAGCTCCCTATGAATAAACTCTATCTAAACATCTGGGGAAATTTACATGATCTAGTCAAACGAAAATACGCCTCATTATCCTGCCTTAAAATCTGTCACCAGTATTTAACTAGGTACTACTCTAACCATCGTCATTTTTATTCAGCTGCAGTCAGCAAATGAAAATATCTCCTTTATTTGTAACAAACAGATACGCCCACGCTCAATACGCTGAAGCCCTTCGGTCTCTCTCCTCCCTATGGCTTAACTGCTGTCCGCTCGATCGATCAGCCATTTAGGTCATCATGCGTCGTCAACGTGACCGTAGACTCTGCATGTCTCTAGTTGTATATCTTGTTGTGGGCCCATCTTCACGCGATTCGAACAGCAGGACAAGCGATTAGCGCTATATGTTGCACTTCTGTTCTCAAGCCGCGTACTATATGCATCTATCTGACGATCTATCTGACGACTACCGAAAGACAAGCACAGACTGTGCATTCGGGTCATCGTTCATAGAACCCTATATAGCGCTCATACATAGCTAACGTACGCTCTCAACAGCGAGGACGCGTTCACAATTTTACCAATCGGCTACTTTGCCGCCATCCGTGAAGGCAGATGGCGTGTGAACTATGCATAACGTCGAACCTATTAATACCAGACGAGAAAACGGGCCTCCGCGGCGAACGACTTCACACAAGATCGACTTAGTCTCCGCGGTGATTCGAGATGTGGATTGAAAGCTTGCTTCGTAAATCTGCGTGCTGACTATAATGGAAGGCTGTTGCTCCGTACACCTTCATCTTTTTGTTCACGCGGCCGATTTTTTAAATCATTTACCTTAGACAGGCAGCGTTAATGCCCTTTAAGGTGCTTTTAGGATCGACAGAACGAAATGAAAATCACGGGAGCACGTTATATCATCCTCGCCATCATCGTATCGCGTTTGGTGACAGCGAAGGGTATTGCAAAAATCTACCACTAACGACATTTCGGAATCTGTTTTTCGCTATTATGGCTGTTTAGCCGGTCGAGTTACGAATTGCAGCTCCACTCAGCTCTCATGGATTAACACAATTCTTTTTGTCAGTCAAGACGAATCTCGAACTATAACTTGTGGTTAGCTTCGATTAGGACTGTTAAGTTTGACACTAGTCTAGTCGGCCATCTGGCCTGTGCTCTTACGATGTTTCGGGTTCTGTGTCCGGTATTGCGCGTAATACTTGAAACCGGCGGCCCCTTTCGATACGGAATGGGCTGGGTCTACGTCGCGTTCAAGACCTGTAGCACAACACACGTTACTGCTATGGGAATTATCGAGGCGTTGTTAGGAGCCGGCAAAACACATATCCCGCAAACGTGCTCGTAAAAGCTGTGTGTTTGCCTGAAAAAACCTTGGTCATATATCACGGAAAAGCTCGATTACCAGCGAGACGAAGCCATCGACGGTATGAGCAACGGCAAAAATGGAGACACCCTGACCTCTGAACGAAGCAGCAATCATGCCAACTGGCGCAGCGGCTGTGGCAGTGGCTTCGAACTAGAGTTAATTTGTCCATTCTTCTTCTGTTTTTTACCGTCGGGTGTTCGGACGATGGATTGTAGCTTGCGACACGCGCAAAACCTAAGCGTTTGCAGTGGTTAGTGCTTTACAACTAGAGTGTTGCTTTTAGCAGTCGCAATGGCAGCACAGATTTACCAAAGTGGTGGTGGCAGCGCCGCGTCGCGCAAAAGAATACGCTCAGGTGAAACCAAGCGACTGATAGAGCGACGAACAGACGCGGATCGGGAACGTCTATGCGTACAAATGTCATAGGTGCACTCAGAAGAACGTACACTGTGCCGTACGATACCGAAAAATACCAAAAAAAAAATAGCCTTCATAGATAGACTACTGGAAAGTAATGGAGTGTGACAGCGCCCAACAGATGGCTGGTGCGTCCATATAAAAGTGTAGCGTTTATGCCTAAAATAGAACGAGCGGACGGAACAGGCCTCGAACGTGTACCTTAGAGGCCCTCTCAAGTTTACTGTTTGCTAAAAGGCAATTAATTAGCGCTAAGCTATTTACTTTACTGTTTTTTTACACTGTTTACTTACGGGACTTTGTAATGCGTCGATGTATTTGAATAGATCAAAATGGATCACTTAGGAAATGCTTGAAGATAAATCGGTGTAAATAATTAGTGCACGATGCTACGACTTTATAATTGCGACGAAGGGACACAGCTGCAATCTCATATTGAAGTAAATTTCAGCCTATTGCATAGACTCCTGTTAGAGTTCACGACTAATCTTAGTCTTAGAGTCTAATCTTAGTATCGCATTTAAAGAATGACTGGTGTTAACTCGTCGTCACCTTTCATCAAAGGTGTAGAATAGTAGTTATCATCGTCACAGTCACTGCAGGCCCGTCGCAAATGAAAACTACCTACTTTCTACATAGAGCAACGTTAACAAAATCTACAACATTTAGCATTTTCATCACTTGCCCATGAAGTCATTGCTAAATTCGACATGATCATCACAATCGGTATCCAAGCATCGTTATTGACTTCGGCAAACTTCAGTTATTTTGCCTGCTGCTCGCCGCCGCTGATTTAGAAATATTGTTAGTTACCTCGTTACAAAGGACGGCATTTTCTAAGCTGTCGACGACTATCGGCGGAGTCAACTCTGTCCATTTTTTGATTATAGGGGGATCGTTGTCACCATCCGTCGTGAATATCGTTGCCATCACGAAGCATAACAGCGATAGAAAAATCATCATTGATACTCTAAATCGAAAATTGTTCTACTCGCCTCTTGAGTGGGAGAAAGTTGACGCTGATGCCAGTGATAGGGACGCCCGAAACAACGACTAATACCAAGTTATTATTGTTTATTTATAGCAAAATTTTCTACATCTTTGATTAGATCTTTGTCGGGCTCAATCGATGTTTTAGATACATATTCACTTCCAAGGTGACCTTTCACGCGTTACGACGAGCGGTACAGCAGCCAACCGCAGGAATACGAAGTACCACGCATATGTATATATATATATATATATATATATATATATATATATATATAGATACAGGAGTGTGCAGTTATAGTGTTACAACAGAAAGGCTGTATCGGTAGCCTAACGAAGTAGATTGCCAAACAGTCTAAAACAGTGATTTAGACATTGCCGCCAATCTGCTTTTGTAGCTGCATTTAACTTTTACTATCCGTTTCGTCTAGATATACAGACGACATATCTGTATATGCCTATGACGTACGTACTATTGCGTATCATCTCAAATCATTGTGAGTACGGCGTAGCAAACATTTACAAAAAAGGCATCTCTGCCATAGGCAGCAAAATTGGTAATATATGCAGATTCGAGTATCTATTCCTTATTAGAAATTCCGCCACTCTCGACCTATCGATTGCTTATTTCATCATTCTCAATCTGTTATATATTCCATTTCTGCTCTAGTCCTCTTCTAACTTTTACAGTTTCTGCCCTTTCAATAACAGAAATTGTACCAACGGCGAACGACGACAACAACAAAAACAACGATCATGGCTACGTGGTTACAGGTGATACTAGTAACATCGTATTGATGATATATATATATATATATATATATATAGTAACGTATGATAGGACAGATCCAGAAAATGTGACCGTGGCCGTTCTTCCTCAGCGAAAAGGCCCCTATCGTTTTGGCTTTTCTTTTCGCGAACGGCCGGTGCGATCCCGCGCGCGTTATTGTTACCCGCATGACAACTATAACAACGACAGTTTTGCTATTAAGGACAACCACAGATATATGGAGAAAATATCACTACCGTTTAACATATCCGACACCACTCTCGATTAGCGTATACGCGCGGCATCAGCCAGTAAAGCGGTCGGTTCGAGCGGTCGTAGTCCGAATAAATCGATAGGGATACTGGACAAACGAATCGAACAGGAGCACCTAGCGCCCGTCAGCCGCAGAAAAGCGTCGTCCTTGCTTTTTTTTTGTCATGCTAGGACGACGTCATCCGCGAATGTATAATTCATCATCGTTAGCTCACATCGAAAGTCCATGTTGTCCTGAAACCGAGCCTGTTGTAGAGTATGGTACAAGAATAGACGTATATGCGTCAGGAGAACCCTGTTTATAAAAGTGAGCGCGTTGTTTGTCGCCGCGTGCTGGAGCAGCTGTTACTTATGGCTGCGATTGCTGCTGATACGTCTATGCGAATGGCTCTCGTTGCTTTTAATAGGAAATACAGGGGCGAAATCGGTTGACAACGATGAGGATCGAACGAATCCCGTCGCGCCTATTCGGCCGGACAGAAGATAACGAAAAGAGCAGCTGAAGCCGGAAAATGCATCAACGCTTATAGATGTTCATAGTTTATGGGCAAACACACAGAAACGTTATAGGCAGGCGACGCCTGAAGCACATTACATCTATAATACTACGCTATCGCAAAGTGGGTTGTTTGGGCGGATGGCCCTGGCTGGTGATTATTTCACTAGGCGATTTATTTGCTTGACAGACGGCTTCCTTCCTGATTTGTTCATTAACCATTGTTATAACTAAATAAATAGAGAAACAGGCCGGCAGGCTGGCGGTTGCATTAGTAAGTTAAACAACTGAAGTAGGTGGTTAGACCGATGATATAAGAAACAAGAATAAACTCAAGCTTGTCGTTTGCTAAGTTCCCTCGCGCGTCGTGGCGAAACTTTTGTCGGCTATGTACGGTTAGCTTACTATTAGGGTTTAGTCTATTTATCAGTAG